CACATCAAAAATATTATTTAAAAATGAGTATTTTTTATTTTAAAAAATAAAATTCATTTGTATAAAATAAAAAAATATAAATAAATTAGAATAATATCTTAAAATATCAAACACAAATAAAATAATTTTTTTAAAATCTTATATTAAAAAAAACATGCAAACCCTATGACCTAGATCATCAAACTAGGATAAACCTATATAAAAAAAAATTAAAGATAATCACAAAATCAATATTTAAAAAAACTAATGCAGAATATTAGGATTGTGTGAAGCCAAATCCCCAACAATTCAAATATCAAAAGATGAAATTAGAAAAAAAAATCAATTACCCAAAATGATCTAAAAAAATAAAGGTGAAAATAAATAAAAAATTAATTAGAGGGAAAATAAAAAATTTCAATTGGAGAGTTAAATGAAATTGAAAAATAGCTTTCATAAAAGGAAAAAAAATCAAAAGAATAAGGGTCAAATTAAAAAAATAAAACAATAAAAAATTTGATTGAATGATGAAATTAAAAGCTAAAAATACTTGAACAAAAAGATCAAGAAATAAAAAGAAATAAAAAAAATAAAAATTAAAATAAAAATTAAAACTTATGAGAAAGTATAATTGAATGACTAAATTGAAGAAAAACGTCTATAAAAGAAATAAAAACGAAATAACAAATTAAAAGAATAGAGTCTGCAACTTTACCTAGTAAAAGAAAGAAAAGAAAGAAAAAAGAAACGATCATTAACAATAATTTAACAACAACACATTACCACACGCCATACTATATAAAAAAAACAAGATAATATATAAATAAAGACGTAAAAAATAAAGTTTAGCTATTAAGTAACATCACATATACTGCTTGAATGACAAGCGTATCATTGCTTGTTTATATGATTTGTTTATTAAAAAAAAATTTAATATAAAAATATCAAAATATCCAATGACTTTGATAATTAAAAAAAAACTCATGTGAAATTATAAAAATATAAAATGCAAGGCTTATATGTACTTTAATTATATATGGATAATAGGAAGAGAAAAATCTAGTTCAACAACCTGATTCTCTTTAATAATCTTTTAATGATGAATAGACTAGTAGAAAAATCAAAACAAGCTTAAAGCTTTTTTTTTTTTTTTAATTCTCCAGTATAGAACAAAAGGATTATTTTACTACAGAAATCAACTGTTTCGATTGCCACGCCCTGGTAATAATAACTTTGACCAACTCATAAAAAAAAAAGTTTTCTTCTTGCATTTGACTGAATATCGTACGTGGGTGCTGCTGTCATGAAAGGTACTCTCGCATCATTTCTTATGTGAAAGTGGAACCTTGAATTTTAGCCTTATCATCGATCATGGGAAGAAGAAATCAGCGAACAAAAACCATTATTCTTTTGCTATCATGTTGCAGTGGCCTGTGAGACTGTGGCATCTCATTTAGAGGAGCATGCAGGTAGCCGCCACCAGCATCACCAGCATGCTGCCTTTTCTAATCTCAATAACTCTTGAGGCTTTGTATGAGCAGGTTCTATGTATTCGAATCTATCTAATTTTCTTCATGCAATAGGCTTAATTATTCCAGGATTTATAGGAACCATACAAGTTCTGCCTTGCCTTGACTCTTTCATTGCCTAATTAAAACATGTCATAATAATAATAATTATTATTATAATAAGAAGTCAACGAATAACTAGACTGCTCGTAGCAGTTGCTTTGCCGAAGTCATGCTTCACTACAATTAGAAGATTTTCTTTTATTCGACCACACGCAAAACTATATTATTAAAATATAATTTTAATTTATTTGGAATGTGTGTGTGCGCGTTTGAGAAGATTATTGATTCTTAAAATTAAAAAAATATATGTAGTTTACCCTTATAATGATTTGACTTCTCGCAAAATTATGAATAAGGACCAATTTGAATCAAAATTATGTATAGGGATCAATTTAACTAAATGTCAAGAGGAATGAACGGTACATAAACGAAACAAGGGCATCAACGCAATTCGGAGAAGGAATCTGTAGCATTGTAGTTTATATCCACACAAGAGGACTAAAACAGCGAAAAAAGGGCACAAACTTGGAGAGGAGGTTCTTTTTTGTCAAAACAGTACACGGGTTGAGCACAAGAGCCCAACGGATAAGACCAGGGAAACGAAGAGCACAGCAGGTTTTTTTGTGTGTCGGAAAATGGCATCACCATTTACAGGGGCAACAACTCTTTCATGCACTTCTTCTTCTTGGCTTCACGGTTTTGTCGGACCCGCAAATGAAATCTCCAAGTTCCCAGACAAAAGAATACCTATGTTGGTTTTAGCTCAGAAGAAAGCCAAAAAGACAAGAAAGGTAACAATCAAATTGCACAATCTGAATTGGGTTCTTGTAATGTGCTCTCACACTGTGTTTTCTTGAAAGAAAGATTCAATCTTGGTTTGTTTTTTATGGCTACCAAAGAGAGAGTCTCTTTGGTTTTAGTCTTTTTAATTAATGGGGTTTTGGGCATTGCTGTTATTGTTGTTGTGTTAGATAATATTGAAAGAGGATGTGACAGATTTGGGAAAGAAAGGGCAACTAGTTGATGTCAAGGCTGGCTTTTACAGGAATTTTCTGCTGCCTACAGGCAAGGCTCAGATTGTCACTCCTGGTTTACTCAAGTAAGGTTTAACTTGACCATTATACATTGATTTTCTTATGTCTTAATTTTTGTGGAGAAACTTATCATCCATTTTTTGGAGAAATTAACATCTTCTCAATTCGAATGAGATATTGGTGGCTTAAATATGCCGGTTAAAAGTATTCATCCCATGAACATGCTATGCAGTAGGTGGCCTGTGCAGATGTTTAAGCTGGAATATCCCTCTGAAAATGAGATGGTGCTACTCAAAATATGGAATTTATAATAATTCATTGTAACACTCCTCATTCATCTATACCTGACAGGGAGGCACTGTTTTTGGCTAACCTGACTCCCCATATCGATGATCTGATAGCTAAAAGCCTCCGGTGGCTTAACAAGCATCTCTTGAACTACTAAACATCCATTATCTTGCATGACAAACTTTGTCCAACTGATGCTTCTTCTCGTGACTACTGTGGATGGTAAAACACACACACAACTCAACTATGGAAACTATAACTTGAGTGAACTTTTGAGAAATCATTAGAATTTGTGATTTTCATAATTGAGTTGGTGGAGGAGGAAGACCAATGTAGCCGACTTCAATTGATGGAGATTGAAGTATAGTTAAGTTGAGCTTTGTGGTTCCTTTTATCTTCTTCCATGTTCATTTTGGGAGAGAAACAGGCAAAAAAAAAAAACCATGATCAGTCCCGCAATTGAACTGTACTTGGTTTCTTTTAACCCTTCTCATAGCACTTCTTAGAGGAATAGTGATTTATTTCCCTGTAAACATCAATGGGTATTCAGCAGGCATTGTGGATGAGCATCTTTGTCATGCTTGGATCTTTTTTCTTTTTTGATTGCATCCACTTGTAGATTACCTTGGAAGTTTAATTGGAGCCTTCTGGAAATGTTTGTAGTTGAGAGGTTCAAAAGTATTACCCATGGAGATGAATCTACAGATTGAGCCTATATGCAAGAGCTTTAGATTCAGGTTGCACATCATAAGAATTCAAGTTTTGTGTGAAGTTTATGTTTATTGAAATTTCCTGATGACAAGTATACATGTTAAATTTTGTTTGTTTTAAGACTATTTATTTCCTGATCCAATATTAATTTGACTGCACTCTCTTGATTTCCAGGGAAATGCGGATGGAAGAGGAAAGAATTGAGGCTGAGAAAAAACGGGTAATGAAATGCTGCACATATCTGTCACTATTAATTGTCTATCTTGTGTGCCTTTTCTTTTAATTGCTATCATTCTGCAGGTAAAAGAAGAGGCACAGCAGCTGGCACTCATATTTGAAACTGTTGGAGCATTCAAGGTCAAGCGCAAAGGGGGAAAGGGAAGACAGATATTTGGGACGTGAGTTGAATCCAGAGCAACCTTTTGTTTCTTATGTTACGCATGGTTCATTTTCTGCATATGGTATCTAAATGAATGTATTTTGGCAGTGTAACTGCTCAAGATCTTGTTGATATAATCAAGGCACAGATTCAGAGGTACTGTTTTCCACTCTATGCAGATTTACCACCATGCAGACACTTGCCACTATCATGAACATTGTAAATTGAGCCTGGAAACTTGTTAGTAACTCCGGAAACATATGCATTTCTTTTGTCAAATTCTTAAGATAGGTTCTGTAGTTATGCAAATTTTTCATGAACCTTAGAATAATGATTATAATTACATGTGCTATTTTGTAATTGAGGACACTACAGCCACTTCCCTTCTTTCAGCCAAAAAAAGCAACTTCTTACATGTTATTTCAGTGTTGAATTCTAAATTTTTGTCTTCCTTTTAGAAGATGCAAACATGTGAACAAGTCCACACTACGCTCAGTTTGATTCCATTATGAGAGAAGATATTATTAATAATTATGATGTCCTGAAACCAATGGTTAGAGTAAATAACACTTTGAAATGTAATCCAGAAAGACAGTCCTTGCATACCTTTATTAGTCACTTTCAATTTGCTGCCATTCAATTGGAACTTTCAAATATACACCATATGAGCTCAAAATAGTATTGAGGTGTAAGATATGGGATGTATTTTTTTCATGTTGTGCATGCAATCTGTATCTTTTTTAATCCTCTGGTAGTATTTTGCCAATATTTTAGCTATCAAGATACAAATAGAGTGTTCTTAACCCAATGACAGTTCAGCTCGCACCAGGCATGTGTGCACATGAAGGTGTCTTTATTGGTGGGATGGCATGCACAAACATACACGTATACACATACACATCTTTCCCTTCCATGCCCCTGTTTTTTGGTTATTGATTTCTTCATTGATCCATAGGGATGTGGACAAGCGGATTGTTTCTCTTCCTGATATCAGGGAAACAGGAGAATACATTGCTGAACTTAAGCTTCACCCAGAAGTTACTGCTCAGGTGAGGTTGAATGTCTATGCTAACTAAGGGCAAGCAACTTTTGGAGCCACTCTTTGAATGGGGACTGTACATGTGAACAACTAGCATCAGTAAGGTATGTGAGCACCATCTCCTTGTTAAAATCATTCGAAGAGAGGAAATAGCATCCTTGCTATGGATCCCTGCAATCTGAATACCTAACAACATTTGGTGTGTAAATTCCACAATTTCTTATTAAGTGTATAGTGAACTTGTTGATTCCTTTGCGATTCAATCTCCTGCCTCTTAGGACTCATCTCGAGCTCACATGTCAAATAGAAGATATTCAGGCTTTTAAATTTCTACCTTAGATGAGGAATTTGGTTGCTCTGTATTTCATTTTACTTTTTGTAGATGTAATTTTGAAAAACAAGTCATTAGATAAATAACAGTTCTATTGTTCAGCAGCCCAAGAAGAGAAAAGATAGGTATTACCAAAATGTAAGACAGAAGTAGTTGAAAAATAAAAAAATAGCAGCCTGGATCCTCACATATTGTAATGTGCCAGACTGTCTTTATATCACCTTTAGAGTTTTAAACTTATTTAGCCTGATCAAGACTACTCTACAATTCTAGGGGGGGGGGAAATTCTTTGCCATTCAGATTCAGTGACCAGGATGCAGAATTGCTTCGTAAAATACTCATAACAAATATTTGAGGATAACCTGACATATATCTTTCCCTAATTACTGACACGGAGCCTTATAAAATAGGATACCAAGATTCCACTCTCCTTAAGTTCAATTGGCTTATTCTATACTACTACAGGATGGTTAAAAAAGAAATCATTGGATATCATTTGTTGAGGCTTTCGACAATTTATATATATTTTCTGTCTGTCTATGAAATTAATGAATTTGCTAAACTTTTTTATCGCAGGAGCATTGGAAAGTGCAAATTAGTTATTTGTCTGGACAGTAGAGATGTATACTTCTCATTTTACGTTGCAGCCAGCTTTTGTTGTTTCATGTTCATTCTTTTTTCTTTTTCACATGTAGCTTTCTCTTGGGAAGTTCTCTAATGTTAAATCTTTTCACTTTAACAGTACATTCTGAGAATTGCAAGTTCATACTTTTGGAATGCTTTTCTTTTATTTCAAGGGATTAGTTTCTCCATCCATGTATGCCGATGCGTGGGGATCTTATGTATGCAGTTGTATGCAATGCGATTTGATACAAGTTTTGTTTCTGAGAAATGCACAATCATACATGTATGATAAGTGTGCATATATATATATATGGGCGGATGTTGCATAAGCCGTATGTGCTCCTTGCATGAAGGATTCTATTTGGACATGCATCTTAATCACTTGCTCTGTGTTGTTGATCAAGCCCTGCGTTTCCTAGGCTTGTATTCAGATGAGGTGCATGCAGATTTAATAGTGTTTGCTAATTTGGTTTTGGTATTTATGGCTTTGGTAAGCATAGCTTGCAATTTCTGTGTCGTTTTCTAGAATTATTCAAAGACAACGGAACAAAGACAACGGAATTGAATGGAAGGAACATAAGCAAAATGATGGAATTCTTTTTCTATGGGGGAAAAAAAAAGCTCTTTTTAATGAGATGAAATGGTATGTGCTTGGTGCTTACAATTAAAACCTGAAATATTGCAACTAAAGTTGCCCAATACCCTATGAATCCATGATCGAAAACAAGGGAGGGAGAAAAATTTAACTTAAAAAGGATTGATATACATAATTGTAGAATGACTGTTGCTGCCCAGGATCGAACTGGGGACCTTTAGTGTGTAAGACTAACGTGATAACCACTACACCACAGCAACCTGAACGATCGTGTTCGAGGTTTAATTAATGAAAAAGAAAGTCTAACTCATGAAAGCACTTCCTATGGTTGGTTAATGATTCATGATACAGAGACAAAGATAAAAACGATTGAAGTATATTTGGTTGGAAGAATAAGAACAAAGATATAAAATTTTTAAAATAATTTTAAAATAAATTTTTATTATTCTAAAATATAAAGAATAAGGGAATATGTTTTATTGTCGTATTTATCTTTGTTTTTATCCTTTGATTCAGTAATCAAACACTATCTCCATCACGTCAGCTTCAGTACCCCCTCCCCATCTTGTTTTATTGGAATTATATTGAATTCTATTGATGATAAATCTTATTCATAGGCCTCTTTAAGGAAGGTGTAAGATGTCATCCACATGAATGAGATAATGATTTATTAAATGGTTTAATAATTATTAATGCTAAAACGAGCCTTATTGGTGGTTAATAACTGCACACTTGATGAATATGTAATATAAAGAGTATTTATAAAACTTGTCCTCTCTTTAATTATGAGGTTCTAAGATTATTAGTATTACAATTTTTATTTGATTTTACAGGTTTATAGTTAGAGAATTGCTTGTACGTGGTATCAAAACATTATGTCTAGGAACTCATGGTTTTCTATTCAAAGATTATTGTTTATGAACCCTATATTTTAATGAGGGATTTTATTTTATTATTCTATTGCATATTATGATAGTTTTTGTTATGAATGATCGATAAAATATTATTAATATTATTATGTATATTTACATGGATTAAAAAAATAAATAAAGAAAAGAATTGGATTAAATCACCAAATACACGATTCAGATTATGAGAATAAGATAATTTCATAAAATACAAAATAAAAAATAATATTAAAAACTCAACCCCCAGTCAATTTAATGTTAAATAATAAAATTTAAAAAAAAAACCTTGACCTGTGTCATCCCATTAAACATATGACCCAAAATATATGACTGAGATAATTTTTTTAAAAATTTTATGAAATTTAATCCTCAACTACTGGATGTTGAGAAATGAAATTAAAAAAAAATTAATTTTAAAAAAAAGATATATAAAAAAAATCAAAATCAACAAGAGCTAACATTTTAAATTCATGACTGTGGTCATGAGATTATCATTACTAGATAGAAGTAAGATTATTAATTTTGTTTCATTCTGCTCAGAATAACTAATATATCTTGTATCATGTAAAAAAAAACAACCAGAAATAAATTTTATCTCATTTTGAATCTTGATTATTTCTAGATTTTTTATCCAAATTCTGGTTGAGATGCTCTAGTTTTATTTTACCTGTTCTGTTTTGTGAATATTTTTTTTAATTTTTTCCCCTAATTTTATCTTATTTTTTTGTTTTTTTTCAAGTTTTTTATTAATATTTTTTAACAATTTCATCCTCTAAAATTAAATTGATTACAATTAAGTTTTTAAATTGAAGTCTAGTTTATGATTCAATAGGTTGCAAGTTTTTAAAAGACTAAGGTTAGAAGATTCACATGAGTCATCTTATTTTTATTCTTTTTTTTAGATAATATTTTCTTTCCTTTTCCTTTTTTTAAGTTTTACTCTTTTATTTTTTTGTGGTTTTTTATTAGGTTATTTGATAATTTAGATAGACTTATATATGATTTTTATTTTATTTTTTAATTATTTAAATTTTCACTTGAACTAATAAATTAAAATTTTTATTTTTTTAACCTATTACCTTTTTTAAGTTCAAAAAATTTCGTAATTGAGAACCAAAATGGAAGTTTCTTTCTGTATCATTGTGAGAAGAAGTTATTTTTTCACGCATAGATTAAACGCAACCACATATCTAGCATCTTTGGTTATGCTGTGCTGGCAAAGACACGTGTATCCTGGCACCACTTGAGGAGTAGGGTGGGGCACGCAAAGCTACTTTTCTTTTCTTTTTGTTTCTTCTATTTCCGCCCTTTTCTTGCGCCGCTAGAATTTGCTTTCTGCCTCTTTCTCGTAGAAGCAGCAAGTAGCAAAATAGTTCAAGTAAACTGTTTTATTTTCAAGTAATTAGCCATACATTTCCTTGCACGTGTAACAAGAAGAGCCATGTATAATTTGTATAACAAGAGTAGCCATTTATATTTTGTGGTGTGCCGTGTGAAGACACGTGCTTGGCGTCGTCCAACCACCATGATCATTGCGTTATATTACACACACACACACACACACACACACACACACACAAAACCCACCATGATCATTCAAAATTTCTTTAAGGTGCATCTCGAGATTTTTTAACATTTTTTTATTTATTTTTATCAGAGTTTTTTTATTTTTTTTATTATAAAATGCTTAATTGAGGTATAATTTTGTATTTTAACAAATATTAAATATAATAAAAAATTAATATATAAAAACACCCATATCTTTTATATATTACATGTGACGACATAAGTTAGTAGTCAAACAATAACTTTTAGAAGGTTATTGGAAGCACCACAACACCTTTTTTTTAAGGGCATGGAGTGGTTTAGGTGATGATAAATTTGTTTTCCTTTCCCTTACTTGAAATTTACACTGATTATTTAAAATTTTAAAGTTATTTTTTTATTTAATATTATTTCAACTTTGATCATTGTTGTTTTAATTTTTAATTTTTATTCTTGATTCTTTTATTAAATTTTAATTTCATCATTTGATACACAATTGTAATTATAATTTTTTTAAATTTAATTTTTAATTTTTAATTTTTATTCTTTTGTGAATTTAATTTTTTCTTTTAATTTCCCCTTTAAATTCAAGTTTTAATTTTTCCTCCCATTTATTTCTTATTTTATATTTGGTTTTTATTTTTTTAATTGATATTTTTTTATCCTTTTATATAATTGACTTAAGTTATGAGTTTGAAAAGTTAATATGATTTTACATCAATTTTTTTTACTTATTTTTTTTATTTAATGTTGTTTATTTTGAAAAACAAACTTTATGATTTTATCTCATGACATGGACAACATGTTTGTTTGGTTAACTCAATTATTTTTAGGTTATTTTTCTATATATTTTCTTGATTTTGTCCTTCAAAGTTGAGTTAAGTTTTGTTATTTTTTCTATTTTGTTTTTTATTATGTTATCTCATTCACATGATTTGATTTATAAAGTTTGATGAACTTAATCAAGTTTACATGTTTATTTTTTATTTATTTTTCTTAATTTTTTATTTTTTTTAATTTCAATCTTCTATATTTGAATTGTTAGGGGTGAACCATCTTTTTTTTTTTTCACTTTGTTTCTTATATTGTTTGCTCAACTTTGAGAATTTGAATTGCGAGTTATGCTAACTCAAATTGATGTAAAATATTTTATTTTATCATTTAAATTTTATTTTTTAATTTTATATTATATTATAATTCAACTTCTTAATTTTTTATTATCCTTTTTTTTTAAATTTGGTTCATTTATTTTCGTTGCTTTATCTATTACATAAATGAATGAACATGGATTTGTTTCTTCTTTAAAACATGCTTGCAGCGCCCATCGGATTTTTACACTCTACCCAGTTAGTGGTAAATTGCGTACCACCTATCCAATTAAAGCTAACCCCAATCTCTTAACTATACTAATATTACATCTCCTATGTTTTTCACCAAGAAGGAAAGACCCCACCCACTATTGAAAAAGTACATATACGAGCAAGCTTAGTTAGCTACATCTGCTCAATAAATTATAGCAAGATCATGTGTGATCCAGCCTGATTTGCTTGCTCAATGAGTGGATTAAACGCCTATTTTATTACTCTTAAGCGCTAATCAATACTCCTACTATTGAAGGCGACTAACAAAACAATGCCAGTTTTAGTCATTGGAAATACCGACAGGACAAGTCAGAGGCAGCCTGCAGCTCCCACAAGGAATCTGCATTCTACTACAGGATTATTAGCAAAATGCTATGTGTTGTCAAGTGATATGAATATTAATAGATTAGTAGAGTTCTGCACTGGCAGTTAATTTAATTTAATTTAATTCCGTAATAAAATTTCGAAAGGCGTGAAGTTTAATGTCGTAGCCAGCGAATTTGATGTTTAATTTTAACTTTTTTTTTTCAACTTGATAAATAATATAATTGCATCACAATTCATGAAACTATATGTTAAATTAAGTCTTACTAATTTTTTTATAGGATTTGTTTTTCATTGTCTTGCGTCACTCTCAACTTCTTTGGACCAAATAGATTGTAAAATGTACATTATTTCTGAAAGAATTTTCTTATATTAAAAAAATTCAATGAAAAAGAATTTATAAACCAAATTATGATTTTATACATATTTTTTTGTTATGTCTAATGACCCAATTTACAACCATATAATAATTACAAAAATAATTATTATTTAAAAATTTATGTTTTATTAGTTATAGTCTTTCTCGTCAAGGTTAAAAATGTCTTGACTTCTACCATCAAAATACATGTATCTTGTTATATTATCTTTGATGAGTTTTTGTTTTCCTATACAAAGTTTATATCAAGAGTGTGTTTAGTATTATTGTAGCTTTTATAGTTGTGATTTGAAAAAAAATATTTTATAAAAAGTATTTTTAATTGAGATTGATTTTATATTTATATATGTTTTGTTAAAACTATGATTAAAATTAAAGTTAAATAAAAAGTAATTTAATATGTTTGGTGATATATATTAATATTAATAATTTTTAATTTAAATATTATAAATTTAACTACTGCTATTATATCATGAAATAAATAATACTTTATATAAAAAAAATTTATTATTTCATCAAACTATCATAATTTTATAATATATAAAATTCATCTAATAAAAACTATAATTTTCATTTTTTTTTAGCGTACAAAAAATCAGGTAAAATATTATTAGTAACAAAATTAGAATTACGATCAAATTCTGCAAAGACTATGTCATCATGTGATCTTTTTTAAATTTATATAGTGTCATTGAATAATATTAAGACTATGTCATCATGTGACTTTCTTTTAATTTATGTAGTGTCATTAAATAATATTAAATACTATTTTTTTAATAAAATATATTTTTAAAAAAATTAGATTTTTTATTATTCATGTGAAAAATATAAATAAATAAATTTATTATATTCATGTAAAACGTGTTAACAAATAAATTTACAGGGAGAATTAATTCACTTAACAAATAAAAGTGAACAATAATAGTAAAGCAGGTATAACTTGCTTTTCTCCTCAAGCTGTGTTTTTATACTATTTTTGGTGGGTCTCGTGAACTAAAAACATTGCTTTCCATTTTATCCAAACAGCATAAATTTATGGTTTCTTCAAAACGTAACCGCTGCCATCTATTCATTCTCCTCCATCTGACATTGTATCCCGGCCCTTCAACTTGCATCCTTCACCTACACATTCACTAACCTTATCTATAGGTAACGCCAACTATCAAAATCCTTCAACACCACTTATATGTGATCAGTTGCCACTTCACTCTATCATGGCACAACCCTTACATGATCATGCCAGTATTGTTGAGCAACATGCTACTCCTATTTAGTGACTAATGATCCCCTGACAGTCCCTCATCATTTGCCATAACATCCTTATCATGGCGCGCACGATCACTTGGGTATCAAATTAATAGCCTCAAACCTAAATTACCATATGTTGGGTGTGTTAATTATCCTCCTCTACAAGTTATTTTTGCTATCATTAACACTCCTTCTGATGAATCTAGCTACTTCACAGAAGCCTTCAAATCTCCACACAAGTGTGATGCCATGCACACTGAATTTAATGCCCTCATTTAGACTGGCACTTGGGCCTTAAGACCACCATCCTTAACTTACGACCTCATTGGCAGCAAATGGGTCTACAAAATTAAGAAACGTGCAGACAAGAGCATTGACAGATATAAGACACGTCTTATTGCCAAAGGTTTCCATCAACAATAAGGTGTAGACTATTCAAAGACCTTAAGTTCAGTGGTCAAACCAAGCACAACCTGTTTGGTTATTTCTCTTGTTGTGTCTAATAATTAGCCACTACATCAACTGGATATTCAAAATGTATTTCTTCATGGTTTCCTTGAAGATGATGTATATATGCACGAGCCATAAGGGTTTCTTCATACGGAATATCCATATCATGTCTGTAAACTGAAAAGGAGAATTATGACCTTTGGCAGGCCCTAAGGGCTCGGTTTTCCAGACTTACTTATCAGTTGCGTCAGCTTGGTTTTGAGAGCTTTAAAGTTGACACATATCTGTATACTCTTCTACAAGGCAATGTCCAAATCTTCATTCTCATTTATGTGGATGATATAATTGTTACTAACTCTGATAATAGTGTTATTGATAACTTGATCTACCAGTTATCTATGGTTTTTCCAGTCAAGGATTTAGGGTTTATCCTTTTTTCTTACTGTGGAAACTCTATGTGATGGTGATGAGTTATTTCTGACACAAAGAAAATATATTGCAGATTTGCTTCTTAAAGTCAATTTTGACAAAGTAAAACCATGTACAACTCTTATGTTCTCTACCTATCACCTTTCAAAATTTGAAGGTTCTGATTTCAGTAATCCTACACTCTATAGAAGCACTGTTAGAGCTCTATATTATCTTGGTTTCACTCATCCAGATATTATCTACAATGTTCATCATGCCAGCAAGTTCATGCATCAACCTAAGGAACCTTATTGATAGGCTGTCAAATGTATTCTTAGATATCTCAAGCATACTATATTTTGGTCTTTGTTTTACTAGACAAGCTAAGCCATCTCTTCGTGGATTTAGTGTACTGATTGGGCTAGAGATAGTGATGATCACTGAGTGTTCGTTCTAATGGCCATAATTTGATTTTTTCACATTTGTAAACAATAGTAAACAGCAACAGTAGTAGCACTGAATCTGAGTATAAATCTTTGTCAAATACAGCAACAGAAATTCAGTGACTTCAATTTGTTCTTCATTGTTTACACTTTACCTTATGTAGTTGTTTGAAGCTATGGTTTGATAATATTGGTGCCAGATACCTCTTTTTATCGTCCAAAGATCACTTGGTGGACGTACTCACTAAAGCTCTTAATGCTAATCATTTTACTCTACTGCGTTTTCAATCTTCAAGTGCATGAACCACCCTTTTGATTGCAGGGGGATATTGAAGCACCCACAACTAATGGATATGCGTTAGCTAACAATCTTGGAATAACCAAAACTCAAAATCATATTGTTAGCTGTCAAACTGGCCCAATAGATCATGATGAATTTGTTGCCATAGATCATGGGATTTGGTTTTTCAGTTTGTATTCAAATAAATATGAACAATGTACAACACACAAAAGACATCCATTGTATTGTATATAGGTGACGTTACACGTATATTAAATCAATAGAATACATCCTAGCTGTTTTATTCTTCATTCTTCTCTCCTCAGGTATTCTACAAAAAGTAATGGTGGTGGTGGTGTTATTGATGAGGATGGTGGAATGTGGAAATGTTTTGTGGCCATTATATTTTTATTTTTTTAACTCCTTCATATAACACATACGTATATAATTGCTAAACTTCTTATTAAATATTATTTTATAAAAAGAATGTTTTTTTTATTATATATATATATATATTAAATTAATTTATTTTATGAAATCTTCTATCAACTATTTATCCTTCTAAATTTTCACAAGTTTATAAAATCTTCTATACTAGCTTTTAAACGAATTTGCTTATAAGTTCAAGCCTTTAAGCCGACTCATGAACCCTAAGAAGCTTAATCGAGTCTGCTCATAAACTTTAATGAGCCAAGTATAGCTAAGCTCAAATTCGATTTATTTATAAAAGAGCTTTAAAAATAAGCTTGCATAAGCTCATCATTTGTTAACAAATAAGTTTGAATCAAGCTCTTAGCGAGTGAAGCTTCAAGCTACTTATGAGTGGCTCGGCTCCTTTGAGCCTTATCATTAGGCAACATGTTATGTAGTGTTGGTTGGATAGGGTAGTCTTTGTGTGGTGATGGCGGGATGGTTGGCACCGCGTAGCCGTTCTAGATTGCAATTATTCCATTATAGTCTCCTATAAGTTTAATTAATGACCTAGCTAGAGAATTAGAGTGTTTGTTGCTTTTGTGATTGATCACATGCATTAATTGTATTTTAACCTTATTCAGTTGGCTTGGGCTTTAAAATCTTCAATGAGTTGTGAGAGCTCTTTGAGGCTATAATATCATATTAAATTTGATAGTTGAGTCCTATGGTAAGTGATCCATTCAACATCTTTTATTTTAATCGATATTTTTGTATTTATTCAATATGAGATACATTCATTGACGTTGTAATTAAGGGCTTTTCATAATATATTTTGGCTTGTAAGAAAAGGGTTGGTGTTTTTTTTCTAACTCTTATAAAAATTTGAAGCATGAAACCAAACTACAACCAGCAATTCCTATTATTTCTTTTGCTTTATTGCATCATTTTTTTTATAAAAAAAAACGCTCGTATTCGGAGAACCTAATCCACGAGTTATGGTTGTGGTACAGGTGGGATGCCGAACCATAGCCATGCCCACCCATGTCTCTCTCTTTGGAGTGCTGCACATATATAGCTATCCCACTTAGAAACAACCCAAAAATTTTATTTTAAAGATTGTAAAAAAAAAAAAAGATGATAAAGATGCCTCCCATCACTCACTTTTCGTGAATGAAAGGCAACCATGAACACTAACCGCTTACTCACTCAAAGTATTCATTCTTCAAAATTAAACTTAGTTAATGCTAACACTTGAAGCTAAACAGGAAAGAATTGAAAGAATTTGGATAGTAATGAATTATAGTAAAGTATATAGGAATGGTAAAATTAAAATAATTGACATGATTAATCCCTGTGGATCTTTTTAGTATTTTTCTAGTAATGGCAATCCACCAAGGCTGTGGCGGAGAACACTAGTGCTTGCCGGGTTGACGTGAATTGGAAATTGGATTCACGAAGGTGATGATCATCCTCGGGAGCTGGTAGATTAAGATCCAAGGCCAAAATATTTTTTGGCTTGATCTGATGATGATCACCATGAATATTAGACTCAGCGGTAGCACTGGATGAATCAGTAGTGATCATGCCCGCCTGGTTGCCTGTGTTAGCCCTGTGCCTTCTCATGTGACCGCCAAGAGCTTGGCCAGACATGAACTCCGAGCCACAAATTGAGCACTCATGAGTCTTAGCCTTGTTACCCTGAAAACCCTTGTTGACGTTATTGTTGTTGTGGCCTATTTGGAGAGAAAGAGAAGGATCAAGGTTACTCCTTTTAATCAATTGACAAACGCCAAGATCCTCCATTGATGCCACCACAGGACCTTTTTTCTCTTCCGCTGTGGCTTTAGGCTTTTTGTGACTGGCTCTGTGCCCACCTAAGGCTTGGAATGATGGGAAACTCCGGTTACAAGTTTTGCATTCGTATACAAAGAAACCTGCCTTGTTAAGAGTTGGTGTGGACATGTCTGATGATTTCCGAGCTCTAAATTTCTCCACTTCACCGCTTTTGTGTTCATGAATTTGCTTTGGACGGTCACCTTGTGCTAGTAGAATCAAGCAATTAGCGATATCTTCTTCTTCTTCTGTCCTCTCAGAAACCTCACTAGAAGTTGTAGGGGAGGAAATTGAACCGTGCTCCTCTATAAGCACTCCTCTTTCTCCTCCGCCATCACCGCCACCACAACCACTTGATGAGCTAGAGGTCATCACCATATACGGGGACGATGACCTTTGGCGCTTGGTGCGTTTGCCTTTAATGATCTGAGTAAGATCATTAGACCCCACGAAATCATCTTGAGCTTCCATATCCATCCCCAAAGATCTTATGTGTGAAATACAGTTTGAGAGATGCGATATGCCCAAGTGACCTAACAAATTAAGAAGGGTTCGTAGAGAGTGAAAAAAGAAAAAACGAAAAAGAAAAGAGGACTGCAATAGAGAGTAATGAGGGAAGTTAAGGTGGGGTTTGTTATATATATACAATAGTGAAGGGGTAACAACAGAGAGAGAGAGAGAGAGAGAGAGAGAGAGAGAGACTGTAGTGAAAGAAAAGATGTTTACAAAGCTGTATAGAGTTGCCACAAAGTTTAGTCTACAGCAACCCACACACAAGGAACCAAGATCTTTTCTTGCGTTTCCAACCTTCGAAGTGTTACTAACAAGGAAAGTTTTCACTTTTCATGCGGTATAAATGTATTTCTTTAAATGCTTCAATTAAAATTATAAGCTCTTCGTTTTAATTCATCGAATAAAACTGCACAGATTTAGAAATTGATTGCACGATGCAAGTAAGGGGAAAAAAAAAAACAATGAAGCTTCCATAATCAAGAGGAAAAAAACAATGAAGCTTCCATAATCAAGTGTTTTTTCCTTATTAAAGTAATTTGTTGTTATCTTTTTGGAAACTAGTGAGATTTTAAGTTTTTTTTTTTAATTAGAAAGGCTTGAAATATGATTTTAATTAAACAAATTAACAATTATAGTTAAATTTTTATAAATTATTATCTCTGAGACAATAAAAATTAATTTATCAATTAATCAAAATATCATCAAAACTCCGAAACCAAACATAAATATTATTTAAAAAATTGAGGTCATACTACACACACATGCATCTTTAAGTAATTACAAGAACTGTTTTAAAAGGGAAAAGGGAATTTTAAGTAAGAGTTTGGTTAGATATTAGAGAGAAATTAGAAAGGGCAAAAACATGACAGAGTTAGCAGAGCTCAAGAAGGGCTGGATAGTGTTAACATTAAGAGGCCAGTCTTTCACAGTATGTGAACGAAGTCACGAATAAACTCGAACCCATCAAAAGCAAAGGGCAGTATTTCACGTCAAAAGCATGGGAGCTAGCTTATTAGACTCCATGTCTTGCTAAAGTAAGGTACCATCGCCACCACTGTTTGAGTATATTTGAGATATTCGGCGACCTTTTAAGCAAACCCATTACTCTCTCTCTTTTTTTTTTACCCTCCCTTCATCAACTTGAGTTATTCTGTCTCTCATGTGAAGCTTGTGGGAATAGGGCATGGAGTAAGGGGCACCAAGTGCCCAAGCCAGCAAGAAAAGAAAGATACATTATTACTAGTGACCATGTGTCTAGTTGGCTTTCTGGTATAGGAAGGGTATGTTTACCTTACAAGTATGTGACAGGTATATGTTTTGTTGGAGTCTTGATCAACTGCTCGACTTCATATCTGTCAGGGAATCAATGGTTTTTCTTTGTCTTATGAATATTTAATTTAAGTACTTAGTATGACAAATTCATTTGACGTAGTCCTGATGATGCTCGTTTAATCTACGGTAAAATCAAATGAAGAGGGATTGGTTTGGACAATTAAAAAAGGATTCGACAACCCAGTGGTTCATGTATCATTAACGTTGACCTCGTTAATTTGATCCTCCTCAAATCGATAGAACACAGTTTCGTGGTTAGATGCAGTGGATGCAACATGACGTCATATTTACTTACAGATGCAAGGAATTCTTGCTCGTGGGGTAGCATTTGTTAGAGATATTTGAATCTCTAACGTCATGGTTGTGAGGCAGCCATTGTAAGTATCTAGTAAAAGTACAATTATATATATCATTTTATTTATTTTCTATGATATTCATGATTTAATCTTTTCAGATTTGATTTGATAGTATTATTATATCCTTACATGAAAGCTTTGTATTTAGGTCTTTTGAGCAAGGATTTAATCTTGTTATTTGGAAATGATTGGCATCCATTTAAGTGTTGGATGGTTAAGATCTTCTAATTGAGTATGAAAATACTACGCCTTCCACAATGATCTGAGACACGTTCACATGCATGATTTAATTTGAAAGAAAAGTTTTTTTTTAGTTAATCTTATTAGAATTAATAATACTTCAGAAAACTATATTTCTCGTCCATTAAAAAACCAAATATTTGAAGTATATATTTTTCCCAATCTATTTTCTTATAACTACAAGTTTCAATCTGTTTTTATTTATTTATTTAAATAAGGTAAAGATAGTAACTTAATCTATATCAGTGAAATTACAGTATTTAAATTATATATATATATATATATATATAAAGAACAGCAATTATCAAACCATTAGCTGTAAAGTGAAGGTCAAATAAAAATCATACACCTTAACAATGATACGCTTTGGATTACACATAAAACTATATTGAGCTTGTTCACTCAATAATTAGAGGCGCCATTATAGGGAAGGGAAAATATGGAGAGGACCCAATTATCGGAGGTGGCCATGTACTCAAAACCATGCATGCAAGTCAACAAAATTATTGAACTTGCTCTTCATCATGTTGGCCCTGTGACTATGTGCTATAAGAATCTTTTCACTTATTAATTAAGGTGGCTGTTACATATTCCTGCTTGCAATAATGGATGACGGATTAAGTGGATCAACTAAGTGTTTGCTTACCCATGATCATAAAATCTGTCACGCATCAAATTAACCAAACTCTTAATTGCTTGATTATAAAACAACTGAAAGGGTCATATCGTTATAATATATAGTCGAGATACAATGTGAACCCGAGATTTAAAGTACAGCACATGAATTATTGATGAAGATATTACCTTAAAAACAACACCAAGAACAGTTTATACTAACTCAACAGAGTGTATGTATTATTTTAGGGGAGACAAGGGGGTACAGGAGAGAAGATGGGAGGGCAGCCATGAATGTTTAAATTCACAGGCAATTAGTTGTTATCAAATAATGTCAGATGGGTCAACATTAGAAGGGATAGGGAAGATTCTTAGCGTAGAAAATTGGTTTGGTTTAGTCAGTTGTGAGAGGCACGTAAGGAGATGGTGGGATGCCGCTATGCCCTTGCTGTTGTGCTGCTTTTGTTTCAAGCTAGGTACTAATTGATGGATTACAGAAGTAAAGTATTTACCTTCCTCGTTGATCTCGCTCCCTCGTGTCTTTCTATTGATCAATTGAAAATAATTGTTTCCAATAGTCTAATTAATAATTATTTCGTTTCAGATCTCTTGTGGCTCAAACAAAGAAGAGTCGGCATGTGGAACCGGCAGGGGAAAAAGGGGAGGGGGGGGGGTATACATTCGTTTAATCTATTCTAATCATAGTAATTAAATCCGAAAGTTGATCTGAGTTCAAGTTCAACTTACTGATCGAGTGAGTTGATTTAAATATTTTTTAATGATTAAAATAACATCATTTTGAAATTTAAATATTAAATTAAAATTAACTTAAAGGGATTTCTATTGATCAATTGAACA